GCCCCCACCGCGGCCGGGGGCCCCCCAGTCACCGGCTGCCCGGTCTCCCTGCAGCGTTCGCCGCAGCGGCCGGCCCCAAAAGCCTGCACCAGGACTACAGCGAGGGCTACTCCTGGTGCCTACAGGAGGCCGTGCAGTTCCTGACGCTGCACGCGGCCAGCGACACGCAGATGAAGCTGCTCTGCCACTTCCAGCGTCCCCCCGCTGCGCCCACTGCGCAGGCCAAGGAACCCAAGGCCGCCGGCCCTGCGCCCCCGCCCGTGCTCACCCCCGCCAAGGCTACCGCAGTTGCAGCACGCCAGCCCACCTGCGGCCTCTGGCGGCCCTGGTGACCCCGCAGGACTTGCGGGTGGCCACCCCAAGGACCGGAGGGCCAGCCAGCCTATTCCTCTGGCCATCCATCTGTCCCTCCTGGGGCTTGGACAGGCCCCCTTCTCCGGAAGGCTCTCTCTCCAGGCTGGCAGGCCAGCAGGAGGGTCATTCTCAAGAGAATGTGCTTTTGCAGAGTCCTTGTCACTTAGGACAATCAGGGCCCACCTTCTGCCAAGTGTCTGACTCCATGGGGTTGTTCTGTGTTTGCATTTCAGCAAGTGACTTCTGGGAAGTCCCCGCCGCCCGGGGTTCTATGATATTTGTAGGTGTCAGGGGCTCGGTCAGCCGGTGCCTCCACGTGTAGAGGACTTTCTTCAGGGCCTGCTGCTGCCGGGCCAGGGGGCCTGGCGGGCGGGCCGTGCCGTGGGCACACTTGCCTTTTGTGAAGGCGGAACTCAAGGTGTATCCTCATAGGAAAGAGTGTCAGCCTGGATGGGCACAGAAGCACCATGCAGAGCCGTGGCCGAAAGGCCCCTGCGTGCACTTGGTTGTCTAGTTGGGGCTCATAGTGGGCTTTGTGGGGAGGGTGGGGGTCTCCACCATGATCCTCAAAGGATCCCTGTGCGTGGGTGGGCGCACGTGGGCATGACTTTGTACTCGGAATTTGAACCGTCCGTCCCGTGGGCACCCACGGGCTGGCTCTGCAGATTTCCAATAAAACCTGACCAAGCAGCCCTCGGGTCTGTCTTTTGTGCTGTACATGTGTTCTTAGCAGCCACCGGGGGGTGGGGGTCTGCGCGGACGGAGGGGGGCCACGCTATCATGATACCCAACTGTGGGGGGACGTGTCTCTGCCGGTGACCCTCTGGACAAGGCAGAAGGAGGGAATGAGGACAGGAGGCAGGCAAGCAGGGGAGAGGCAGACTGGAAGAAGAACAGGCCCCATAGAACCCATACCCCCACGTGCAGCAGGAGGGGATGCAGTGGGAGACTGGGGCTTCTGTCTCGGGCCTCTCACTAGCTCCCTGCAGGTGGGGGCCGGGGGAGCGGGAGAGCGACAGCTACAGGCCCTTCCAGCTCTGTCCAGCTGAGGGGGATGCGAAGACCACAGGTTACAGTGGAGCTCTTGCTGCAGCAAAAGGGCTTTAGCTGGGCCACACCCACGGGAGAAGGTGTTTGCCTCCGCCCTGGCCTTCCTGCCTGGCCAGCAGCCCCTGTCCCTGGGTGAGCTCCTGGGAGCAGCTGCTTGGCTAGTCCATAGGTGGCTACCCCGCCCTCCCTGCGGGCCGACCGCTCGCCAGGGCTGGAAAAAGCAGCGCTGGTGGTGAACCTGTCCCTTGCCTCGGAAAGGGCACCTATTTTTAGGCAGGCTACTGGATGTTTGGTCGAGTCTGCGAGAGCCTAAAAGGGCCCAGGCTTCCCAAGGGACAAATCCACCCACGGGGAGTGGAAGGAGCTGGACGTGGAACCAAAAGCCTTCCACACGTCTTCAGAGACATGGGGTCAGCCCGGCCGTCCTTCCTCTTTATCGCGCCTCTCCCCGCAGCCCTCCGGAATCCCTTTCTGCCCACTCTGAGGGGAATCCGAGGCACCCTCTCCAGGCCAACCCAGCACCTGCCACACGGTTCCCCCTTCATCCCACACGCTGACTGCATGTGGGGCAGGAGTGCCAGTGAACCGGGAGTGGGGTGTGCCTCCTGGCCAGGCCCACGGCCCCTCATGAGGGTCCCTGCATCCTCTGGGAGCAGACCCTCTGCCCTCTTCCCCGCCGCCCCCCCGGCCTCTCCCCCCAGCGCACCCACCCCTTACAAGATGTTCACAAGGCTGCCTCTCCAAGGCTGATGCGCATGGCCCCCTCCCCTGATCACCCCTGGACCTTTCAGTTTCTGCTGCGCCACAGGCCTGTGCTCTGGAGACCTTGCCAGGCAGCCGGTGACATGCTCAACAGAGGCTGAGGTCCAGAGACACAAAGTAACCCGCCCAGGGTCACCTGGGAATCAGCTGCCAAAGCCACCTTAGGGGCCCTCTGTCTGCCGCCAACACTGTCTGGGCTCTTTCCTAAAGCGCCCAGTGCCCCTGAGGGAGACACATCCCTCAAGGGTCTCCTGGCCATCAGAGGCTTCCCAGCGACTGGCCCTGAAACCCATCCCCACCACCATCTGTGTCCACACTCCAGCTTCAGAAATTGTTTCTCTGCAAACTCCCACAGACTCCCTGTTTTGCCAAAAGGCAGCCTCCTCCAGGCAGGCTGCCTGCTTTCTGCTGCACTCTCTGCAGACCTCACCATCAGAGTGAGTGTCTTCCCCAGCTGCATGCAGGTGCATCGTGCACCGTGCACTGGGGGCGCCGGAGAGCAGGGCCCCCTACACCCCCATTTTGCATGGGGCTTTTGCAACCCACAATCCTTCGTTCCTAGAAAGCCGGGCTGGTGGGTCACACGCGCCTTGATTACAGCGGCACTCATTGACAGAGGCAGGTCTTTGGAGCCCCAGGTGCCTCCTCTGCACTATCTCAGAGCACTGGACGTCAGCATCCGGCCAGCTCGCTGAAAGAGCAACAAAGACAACAGTCCGGACGTTTTGTGTTGGGCCAACGGCCTCGGAGACCCCCGCGCGGACAAGTCCAGTGGCCCTCCAGCTGCCGGGACCACACGGGCGGGCGGGGAGGGGCGGGCCCGGGTGCTCATTAGCATAATGTATGCGCAGAAGGCGTTTAGCAGTCAAATATATGCGCATATATCTCCATAGATGATTAGGCTAGCCGGGCACATTCAAAATGGCGGAGTGTGGAGCGAGCGGCAGCGGGAGCAGCGGGGACAGCCTGGACAAGAGCATCACGCTGCCCCCCGACGAGATCTTCCGCAACCTGGAGAACGCCAAGCGCTTCGCCATTGACATAGGTAGCCGCGGACTGGCGCCGGGAGCGGGGCGGCGCGCGGCG